CAGTACTTTAGGCCGTATCCAGACTGATGTTCTTTCTAAGCCACTCGTCCGAAAGCTGTTAAAATTATTCCAGTGACAGCTAATTTTATTGTTTACAGGCGTACAAAAGCATTTTGGTGAGAATTTTCCAGAAAAAAATGTTATTCGTGGTGGAATTTGAGCGTGATGGTGTGATTTATTTATATTTAGCTGGAAAACCACAAGTGGTGTCTCATACCATCGCTCGTTACAGTGATACTGGTAGCTTAGCCCGACGTCAAGGAAGCGGTCGGATGAAAACTGCAACATCAGCAGAAATGGTTCGAAAAGCAAAGAAGCGACTTGATCGAAACCCGTGTCGCGGTGGCCGAAAAATGGCTCGTCAAATATTGAAAAATGAGCTCGGGGTAAAGCCGTTGAAATTCCAAAAAGTTGAAGAACTTACACTGCAACAGAAAGAAAAAAGACTTAAAAGAACTACTGGACGACGCTTATTTTCGTATATTTAGAGACCACAACAGTTGCTAATGAACAATTCAATGTTGACACGTGATACTTGTCCAAGATCTGTCGCATATAATGGACACAACGATTTCGTTGTAAAAGTTAGAACTTGTATCTTTATATTTCCTGGTTTAAAATAATAACACCACACGAATGCAAACAAAAAAAAAAAAAAAATACAAAAAAAAAATATGTTCTTGACATTGATTATTCCATGAACAAAGCTGAATCTACATTTAAAATAACTACCATACGTAGTTGAGTCACAGATAGTAAATTGTTTACAATAAAAAAATTCTACTGTCTCTACTAAAAAATTATTGGTCAGCTATAAGGGTGGTCCGGTTTTTGCTTTTGTCAATTCAAAGTATCGACATAATTACTGATATTTTAAATATACCAAATATAATTTCAAAAGATTTATTTTTTAAACACATACTTATAGTACGTTTATATATATGAGGGTTAACCCATTACATTTGGATTTAAACTGTCATATCCATTACTTTTACTTCAAATAAATCCTCTCAAAGTAGGTTAACCCTACAAAAAGTTCTAATGTAAACATGGCATTAGAAAATTTTTGATTCTACTACTTCACCAGGTCTAGTTTCAAGTAAACCTAGGAGAAAGTAATTAAAATTTCCATTTGCTTTAAATAATTTTATTACAAAAATTTGGCCACGTAATATTATTGCACAATTTCACCTCTTGATTGATTCGAATGGACTGTCATAAATATTTAGTGATATTTGATACGATCTACATTGTGTTTCATCTAAATAACGTATTTGACCACATATGCTATTTTGCAAAACATAGTCATGTCCTTCCATATGTCCGGTAACAAAAAGTCCTAATGGCAGAAAACGTTGTAACGGAATATTTTCTACTTACGTACTTTCAGTATAATAAAAGTACAAATTTCACAAAAAATAATATGAATAATAAATTTATAAATTAATAAATTTGTATTTTTTATATAAACACAAGTAAAAAACATTAAGTTGGGTGGGCCAAATATTCAGTACCCTCCCCCCAAATGTGGCAAAAATCAATAAAATACCGAATATCAGGAGGTACAATTATAATAACAAATATAATAACGTCGAGATATATATACTATATTAAAATGTGGACCAAAATCTTATTTATATATATATATATATAAATAATAAATAAAATAAAATCTATAATTATATATATATATATATATATATATATATATATATATATATATATATATATATGTATATATATATATATATATATATATATATATATATATATATATATATATATATATATATATATATGTATATATATATATATATATATATATATATATATATATATATATATATATATATATATATATATATATATATATATATATAGGTGGATAATATAATAAAAACACAGAATGAACCGCGAGAAAATTGTCAGTACAACCCATGGCAGAAGAATACAGGTAGATGCATCAACGCCTGGGAGCATTGATATGTCAATAAAATTCAAAAGTTTTTTCAAATATAAGTAGATTTTTATATGTTTTCTTATACTACGTCATTCGAAGGCAATTATAAGTCGGGGTTATCAACAATTTTTACAGATTTAAATAATTTTTCTTTCAACATTTTCAATTCCAAAATTGGTTTGACAGTTCATAGTCCCAGTAGCTTTGTCGACGCGTCTACCTATATTCTTCTACCATGGTACAACCAATGTTTTCTATTTCCATTCTTCTTAACTCTCTCTTTCTCTCCTACAGACAGAGACGTGCCGTATGTGATCTCGCCCAATGTAAATTAGGGCTAAACATAGAAACAGAAAAAACTTTGAGTTCGTACCATTTAATACTATTTAAGGTGTTAACTTTTAACATAAAATCCAAACCAACGTTATAAAATTAAAATTATTTTAACAAATGAAAAAAATCGACATGTTTTGCTCATCTGCGAGTGGTAGTAACACTTGCCTGATATCGGACATATTATATTCTTGCCGAGTACTGTTTTAGTTTTTGTCATACCGTTCATGACTTTTTACGTATGCGTATTTTCTCAACCCACAAACCAAAGAAAACCAAATATGTTAATGAGCATTGTTGCTAATCTTAACAAACTAAGCATATGGAAGTGTTATTACGGTTGCTGTTTTAGTACACAAAATTGGTAAATACACATACGAACACAGAACATTAACAAAATAATATTTTTACAATATTTCACTGACAGAGTAAACTCTTACTCCATTTCAAGCATTTCGACACCCATTCTAATTTTTCAAACAGGAGTAGCTCAGGAGCGCTCCCACATAAATAAAAGATTGTAGAAAATGGGACATTACAATTATATACGGGTTATATAAAATCGTGGTCCCATACACCCCATTTTCCGTTCGAAATTTTAGTAAATATTTTGAAAAAAAAATTCCAAAGAAAATATCTGTAATTCAGCATTACATTTATCTTCTACAAAACGAAGTTAAAATATATCAGTCTGGTTTTCTGGCAAATGTACACTACATTTTAAATGATTTTTCTGGTTTTTCGACTTTTCAATGGATATCTAATATTGTATACAAGCATCTATTAAAGTCATCATACCAGATATTCCGAATTTAAACACTCCAAAATGGTCTGGTAAAATTTTAGAAACGGTGCGTACCAAAATTTCGAACGAATTTACACATTCAATACAATACAAATGGCATAGAAGTACGCTTTTACATGAAGGTAACCTTTTCGCTGTTGATGCATGTCAGTCCGTCTGTCCATATATTCGTGTGAACAGTATGCAGGTCGCATTTATTATCCTATTGATTTAAAAAATTTCAAACAATATTTGATTGGCCCAAGGACGAACCCTATTGAAATTGGCGAGAATCGGTTCAAATTTTGATATAACTTCCATATATATCTTCAACCGATTTCCGGTTAATTGTGCACTAAATGGTCAATATCAGTCCAAATAAGCTGAAATTTGGCACATCCGACCGAATTTAGTCTAGAAACAAGTGCATGAAATTTGGTGAAAATCGGTTAAGATATACCTGTAGCTGTAGCGCCCATATATATGTTTCATCCGATTTCATATCACATTCGTAATATGCACCCCCGCAAGCATGCATTTGGTACCAGATAACGGATACTGCCCAGAAGTACCTCTTCCAAATTTTACCTAGATCTGTTCAGATTTGGATATAGCTCCCATATATATTTTTAACAGATTGCATGTTAACTGTGCACCAAATGGCCAATATCAGTCAAAATGACCTGAATTTTGGTGCATTCGACACAGAATTGAATTTAGTCTAGAAACAAGTGCATCAAATTTGGTGAAAATCAATTCAGATATAAGTTTAGATCCCATATATATGTTTCATCTGATTTGGTCTTTAAGTCCCTCACATTCGTGATATGCATTCGACAACCATGATATTTGGTACCAGATAACTTAGAGAACTCGGAAATACCTTTGCCAAATTGTATCAAGATCGACTTAGATTTGGATATAGCTCCCATACCCATTCTTAATCCGAACTCAGGTTTATTGTGCAAATAATGGCTATTATCAGCCCAAATAGAGTGAATTTCGAGACGTACGTTTCCATTTGGTGGAACTCGGCTCCGACATGTTATTTGCTATGTTATTTAGTATAAAAATAAAAAATTCTCCGTCAAATTAAATGAAAATCGATTCAGAATTGGATATGCCTCCCATATATTGGTTCCCTCTGAAGCCAAATTTTAACTGCTCTAAAGACAAATGCTGAGAGGTGGTATGATCTACTACATATAAATTCTTTTGTTACGAGTGCTCCACTAAATACGCATAGTGGCGTTGGGTTTCATAAAGTCGGCCCCGCCCGACTTTAGACTTTTCCTTACTGGTTTTATATTCAAATTATTAAGTTGTAGCTAACATATCCTTTACATTTGTCAGTTTCTCTAAAAAGATTTTAAACCAATCTAAAAATCTGCTCAAAAAGGTTTCCTACTTCAAGATATGTACTAGAGTTTACTGAGATTCCAAGCTTTAGCATTTTACAATTCTTTTCGTATTTTTTGTATTGTAACAAAATACATACACATGCCTTAAGAAAATATCTCCGATAGATACCTGTCTATTTTCTTAGATTTCTGGAAAATAATTAATCATTGCTACAAATGAAACTCAACTAAAAGTCATCATTAAGAATCTCACTTGAAAATCCACCCTAATAAGAAATTGAATGTAGGCAGACACATTTTTAATTGTTCTTGCCTATGACGCTGGTGTGTTCCCACAAACCTGGGAAAATAGTAGAACCGGTTCATGCTGGGTTCTTCCTGAACAACATCATTTTAGCCAGCTTACGGCTCTCGTTTACTAAGAACTGTGTGCGTAAAGTGAGTGAGCGGCATAGTGCTCCACATGGGTTTTTTTGTTTTGTTTCGTTGCGGCGAGGTGAAATCGTTTTGTTCACGTTTGTTGTTGTTGTTGGTGTGTTTGTGTGTATACTAAGATCGCATTGACTCGTTGTGGTTGGGGTCTGATTTGTTTGGCATTGAAATTTCAGTTTGCTCAGTGAAGCCGACCAAGTAAGACCACATTTGCCGTAAGATATCAACAGTTTGTGAGATTCGGATTAAACAAAGTAAATTGTTTTTATTATTTTTTTCTGCCAAGAAGTGAGTTTTTGTTGAAGCTTATTTGAGTGTGTGCAAATGTTTTGTATTAAGAGAGACAGAAATAAACTAATTAATTGCTGATCTTTTTTTCAATTAATTTATTTTCCAAAAACATACAATTAGTCAGTCGTTACTAAAAAGGGCAAACAAAATGAATGACGAACTATTCGTAAGTGTTATTTTACAATATTTTTCGATTACCTATCTGTTACACACATCGCGAGGATCCATAACTTTAATGTACCTTGTTGCGTTCTAATATCACTTTTCTATCTACAAATCACATCTACCTGCCTATTATATTGTTAGTAATTCCAACTTTAATTTCCATCGAGACTCGTTCTGAATCATACCATTCATCTAATTCTCTTCTGTATTGTTTCACTTCTTTTGTGTCAAACTAATTTTAGCACCGCATTCATTTGTGATTCATATCTGGTGAAAGTCGTGTGTGTTGGTATGTGTGTATTAGTAGGTGTGGAGTCACGGTAAATTGTCGCGGACCACGCATTTGAATATTTTCTAGATGTACCAATAAATGTATGTGATTGCCGGCTTTTGTTTGTTTATTTTGATTTTTATTTGTTTGCAATGTTCCACGATGCCACCGAGCGTATCGTATGGAGCAATGCACATTAAGCCATATAGAAATGTATGGATATGGGAATAATAATTGTTAAATTTGATTTAGTAATTTTTAGTTTTGATATTTCAATGACGATAATGGTGCATCCAAACGAAAACTTCTGAAATATTAAAAGAATATGCAAACAGTGTCAGTATGTGTATGTGTTGTTCTCCATGCGATATACACCATGAATCAGGGTTAATTTGTTCATAATTGCATTAATTGATCACCGATACACAAATGGCTTGGAACCCAAAGAATCTAAAAAAATAAAAGTGTTAATTGATTTTTAAAATGTGTTTTTTTAAGTACCTGTGAATATAGAACTTCAACATTCTTTACAAAAACAAAAAGAGCGGTAAAACATCAAATGCAAGTAGTGTTGAAGGCATCATGAGTCACTTCTTTATAAATGATCTCTTTCTGATATCGTTTTTAAATATTGTTTATTTTAAATGTTAGTACATTGGTGTTGCTTATTTTTATTTTAAATTTTTATGTTTTGCGAATTTGTAAGAAGACTAACAACTGCCATACTCTTGGGGCACTTAGGCCATATAAATGATGCAGATGTATATTTCATAAAATAATCGATTTTATAAAAAATGCATATACATTTTTGTTATCTTGTCTAATGTAAACAATATATTTTTACAGAGATTTGAAAATTAGGAATCTAAAGAAATGTTCTTTAACAAATTTCACATAACATTCGATTTCAAACATACATTATAGTCTGATAAGCAATAAACAGGGAGTGGGATGAGATTGTAGATATAGACATGGTTTCTATATGCTGCACATTATTCTTGATAAAGATCATGGTAGTCATACATTTCATAAAAAAATCCATGATCGCAGTATCGTGAAAATTTGTGGGAGTCAGCATAAAGTACATGCACATAATCTGGAACAGCTTACAACACAACAAAAAAACATAAAAATATTGTGTTTTTCTCGACAAATGACAGTTTACATTACATTCTCCAGCTTAAAGTGTTCCATATATTAAGTCATTTTAATGGTACTGTTCTTAAGTATTTCATCCAAAGAATCCGCGTATATTTAACTAGTATAATTAAATATATAAATATACATTCTGTTGGCAACGGAAAGTAAAACCCCTTTTGTAGAGCTTCTTATATCACATGATCAGTCCTTTGTTTGCAACTTTGTTTATAAATATCTTTCAATTTGAAGTATTTGTTACTCATTCAAGTGCATTTACACATATGGAAATAATTTATTTATACTTCAACCACGATTTACTTTGTTATATTAATTGTGTATTATTAGAATGAATACAATTTAAATATAAACGTACGTCTTACTCAGTTTAAGTTAAAACAGAAATAATCTTGGGATTAATTCTTACTCCTATGCTATTTTTCTATTATTGCTTGATAAATAATATTTCATAATTAAATAGCGCAAAATTGAAATTTATGTCGGTGCAATAAGGAAAATATCCTACCCGAAAACAGTTGATCTACTGCTCTTTTCGAACGGTATTGCTTCTCCGGGAACGTCGAATTACGGCTTTAAAAGTTTAAAAATCTGAATAGCATCCGACGAACAAATCGACGGAATTGATAAAAAATATTTTTGGCATTTAAGTAAAAAACGTATATACATATTGTAATGCTTTAGCATATACAACGTTTTTTTTTTTTTGTTTTTCCTTCAGAAGCGTAAACAAATAAATTTATCGGTCTACCAACGCGTGAACATGCCAGGTACAGCTGACCATGAAGAAAGCAGGAACATGTCAAATTTAATCCGCATACACGAAGAGCTTGTCCTTTGGGTTTTTTAATTGTCGTAGCAAAAGATTTCAATATAATTTGGCAAATTAATTTTTGTACCAAATGTCACTTATTCCAAATTTCATTGGTATCGGACATAGATATCGTGTTTGGTGCATCTACTATGTGAACTTGGCGGAAAATATACATGGGAGCTATATCCAAATCTTAACCGATTTCAATATAATTTGGCAAAATTAATTTTGGTACCGAATTTCGTTACACATTCCAAATTTTTATTGACATGGGAGATACATTGCGTCTTTGATTCATCAAAGACACGCATTCGTTCGAAAATATATATGTGAGAGCAATATCCAAATATAGGGCAAATTATATTTTAGACCAAATTCCGTCCACATTCCAAATTTCATTGAAATAGGATAATACCAGAACCGATTTCAATATAATTTGGCGAATTTGCTTTCGCATTAAAATTCGTTACTCATTCCAAATTTCATTGGAATCGGACGTAAATATAGTGCTTAGTGCATCAAATATATGAAATTGACCGAAAGTATATATGGGAGCTATATCCAAATCTGAACCGGTTTCAATATAATTTGGAAAATGTATGTTTGTTTCGTATTCCTTTACACATTCCAAATTTCATTAAAAGTAGAGATACATAACGTGTTTGTTGCATCAAATAAATGAAGGTCATATCGTAACCCTATGTAATCATGTACTTAACAGCGTTATCTAAAATTCGTACGCCACAAATATTCAACTTCCCTAATTCAACAATTGAATAATTTTGCTTTGTGTTAAAAATAAAAATCAAAAAATATAGAGAATGTAAGTTTTTGAAATTGGAAAATATCACAAATGTGGTAATTTAACAAATTATCGTATTTTTCATATGGGTATATTCTAAGATATGAAACTGGCGTATTTGGGTTATAGGTCGTACAAAACATTTTACCATGGTGGGGAAGTTGAATATTTGTATACGGTACGTTGAATTTTAGGTAGCGCTGTAAATTTTTTTCACAATTATTCCTTTGACAACATCTAATTTTCAAAATACACAATCAAAAATCCATTGTATATGCACAAAATATAAAATGGGTATTTGGTTGTGAAGCTGTTAATTTTGTCAAGGTATATTGTAGAAAAATGCGGATCATGATAACCGTATATGAAATTAAATACCTATATTTCGTGGTATATCATTTCATAGTCCGATTTTAATATTTTTGTGCGCCCAATATGTAATATTAGTCCAAAAAGAATGCCGATATCGCCATAGCTCCCATATATATGTTTCATCCGATTTGAAAGATAGGTCCCCCCCGCTATGGTGAACCAAATAGCAAAATTTAGTAAAAATCTAATCAGACCATATATTAGTTCCATTCGTTTTTAAAATATAACTGCACTAAAGTCAAAATACACATCCTAAATGGATCATAATCTGATTGATCTGTTTTATATAAATTACCAGTGGAAACATTCGACAAACAATGCCCCATTCTATTCCAAAAATGGACTGCAAAAAGTCATATAAGGCAGTATCATGCCGCACTTTAAGTTCCAGGCAAGAAATCATCTCGATACATCTTGGAAGTTTAACTTACGAATCTGCCCTTCGGTGTTCTTAAAATACCAACCTAGACATTTCATCCACACAAAAATATTTAAACCCCACGACATCGACTTCCATTTTGTATCACAGGTAAGCCCATGGTAGAATCAAGAAGGTAAAGCTATGTTATCATATGTTTAATTTTTTTTTAATTATCCATTTGACAACATCTAATTGTCAAAATATATATTTTTAAATACATTGTAAATACACAAATCAGAGATGGAAACATTTCTTTATTTTTTATGGATATTATTATTTGAAATGACTTTGCCTTATTAATTATACCCTACACCACAAGGTGATCAGGGAATTGTGTCTTTGTGAATTTGTTTGTAACAGGCAAAAGGAAACGAGATATATCCATAATTCTGATGATCTGCATAGAATCACATTCTGAGTCGATTTATGCATGTCCGTCCGTTTGTCTATCAACTGGAAATAAATACGCCAAATTTGATTGAAATCGGTTCAGATATAGCTTTCATAAATATGGTTCATCCGATTCGATAAGTTTGTCCTTCACCGCCGTAATATGCACTCTTTAACAACGATATTTGGGGAGATCTATCAAATACAGCACAGAATACCTTTTTCCAAATTTTGTCGCGATCGGTCCCAAATGGGAAATTGAGCCTTGAAAAAAGTAGGCCAAATTTGGTGAAAATGGGTTCAGATATAGCTATAGCTCCCATATATTTGTTCATCCGATTTATTATATATATATATATATATATATATATATATATATATATATATATATATATATATATATATATATATATATATATATATATATATATATATATATATATATATTGTGTATATATATTTATATTGTGTATTTACATGAGAGCGAGCATGACTAAACCGATTTAAAATTGTATGCAGATTTGAGATATTATAGTTTGTAAATGCAGTTGTGAATTCAATTGCTATTTGTAAAATATTGTTCAATTAATGCATTATTCAAAAGTGTTGTTGTTCAATCCGGGATCTGATCACATATATTACATTTAGGGATGTTACACTGTTTTACACTCTGTGTTTCAAAGTGTTTCATTCAAATTCTTCTGAATAATGAAACTAACCTATAAATCGACAAGTAAGAATGTTTCATAATTTCTCACTGCATAAGAATATATGTATAAACCTAATATCAATGTTGTTCTTAGATGTGGCCATCTTACCCGGATATAAAAAATAACACATTCTAAAATAAAATAATTAGAAACCCCTGAATAGTTTCGAAATTTCGTATCAAAGAATAGATTCTCCATTTCGTATAAAATATGTTTTAAACGTAAAATTTGTCATTATAGTCTGTATTTTATTTGATTGCCTACATTCGATATAAATTCTAATTAAATTTATTCAATTAAACAATTAAGCTAATTTTTGAGAGAAATTCCATTGAAATAGGACTTGTCACATGTGCAACATTATTAAATAATTCTATTAGCAGGAATGACTTTCATTGCTAAGACTGTGGTTATATAGTTTAATTATACATTGTTATTTACCTCCTGATTTAATATTCCATAGTAGAGGTGGTTGAACTTAGATATTTCTTATGGTTTATTTTTTGTTGTCCATTCTCGTGTGGGGTATTCATAAATATGTGCACAGTGAAACATTTTTATAGTAAACAATTGGACTTGTTTACCAGTTATCTCATTAGTAGGTCTTAATTAACAGAGTTTAAGTATCAGGGATTAGTAATTGGAAATATTCCGCAATTACATATGAATCCAGAAATACTTGGTATTACTGTTCACGCCAAGCTCATAAAGACTACGTTGAATTTCACATTAAAAGGTAAATTAATTATATCCGTAATAAGCTTAATAAATTAGGACGCCTCTGACCATGTGGTCATGGTCATGGTGGAATTGAATTCTATGTTTTTATTTCAACGCTTGGAATGTGGATAAAATAAATTCTTGGGCACTAGCAAATAAACACACATTTTATTAACATAACCGAAATTATTATACCAGCTACTAATTAATACGATAGTGTTGCCACCTCACAGTGTGGCCCAATTGGGATTTTTGTGATATTTTTATTTTTTCCTAACTGATGAACATAAAGGTATCAAATTTGGAGAATTTGTTTATCGAATAGAGAATAAACGTAATATATGAAAACCGGAACTTTGACATATATGGATACATTTTTAAACCATTTTTACACGTCGAAATTCCAAAACACCTAGAAATTATAAAAAACAGTAAAGAAAGTTTTAACGTCGGGCGCTGCCGAATTTATAATACCCTACACCACTTTGTATATTTAGTAGAGCTTCACATAACAAATAAGTTTTAATGGGGAATTTGTGAGAATTAAATCATACTAACTATGATTATAGTAATAATTGAAAGTCCAAAGGAACAAATGTATGGGAGGAATATCCTCCTATGAATCGATTTCTACTAAATTTGTCGAGGCATTTTCCCCTTTTCAATTCGGGCTTGTATTATACGTTTGGTGCACAATTAACATGAAATCCCGATAAAATTTGGCAAAGGTAATTTTGAGCTGTATTTGATATATTTCCCCGAATATCGTTGCTACGGAGTCCATATTATGGCTATGCAGGGAAAATTCAACAAATCGGATGAACAATGTATATGGAACTGTAGCTATATATGAACCGATTTCCACCAAATTTGACATACCTGTTTCTAGACTCAATTTGGGCTAGTATTACACGTTTGGTGCACAGAAAAAGCAAATCGAACGAGCTATATGGGAGCTGTATCCAAATATTAACCTATCTCTATAAAATTTAGCAAGGGTATTTCTGAGTTATATATCTATATCTATAAAAGAGGAAAATGTTTGTATGTTTGTTTGTTTGTTTGTAATTTATGGACTTGAAAACCGCTGAATAGATTTTCCTGAAAATTTCCATATATACTGCAACATCGCCTGAAAGTAACATAGACTATATACATTTTTGAATTTCCACTTGGAACTGGAGATATAGCATCAGAATCGGAGGTACCTCCCAAAAATTTAGATTTTATATGCACATATCTATTGATTGGTTGAAGATACAGTCTCCAAATTTGGAATACGTAACGGAATTTGGAACAACAATAAATTTGCCAAATTATATTGAAATCGGGTCAGATTTGGATATAGCTTCCATATATATTTTCGGCCGATTTCAAGCATTTGATGCACCAAACACGCTATGTATCCCTAATTTCAATGAAATTTGAAACGTGTGATAGATTTTATCTAAAAAATTGATTTTCCAAATTATATTGAAATACATTTTCGGCCGATTTCATGTATTTGGTGGACCAAACACGACATGTATTTCCAATTGTAATGAAATTTAAAATAAGTATCGGAATTGGGAGCCAAAATGAATTTGTCAAATTAAATTGAAATCGGTTCAAATTTGGATATAGCTCCCATATATATTTTCGACCGATTTCATGTGTTTGATGCACCAAACACGCTATGTATCTCTAATTTCAATGAAATTTGGAATGTGTAGCGGAAATTAAAACAAATATACATTTGTCAAATTATATTAAAATCGGTTCAGATTTGGATATAGCTCTCATATATATTTTCGACCGATTTCATGTAATTTATGCACCATACACGATATGTATGTACGATTCCACAGATATTTGGAATATGTATCGGGATTTTGATTAGAAAATAAATCAGTCAAATTATATTAAAATCGGTTCAGATTTGGATATAGCTCCCATATATATTTTTCGCCGATTTCACATATTTGATGCACAAAACACGATACGTATTTCCGATTCCAACGAAATTCGGCATGAGTGGCTAAATTTGGTACAAAAATAAATTTGACAAATTATATTTAAATACGCTCAGATTTGATTATAGCTCCCATATATATACTCAGCCGATTTCACATATTTGATGCACCCAAAGCGAGAGAGACAAAATCTGGCACCAGCAAAAATTACCAAATTATATTGAAATCAGTTGAGGTTTGGATATAGCTAACATATATATTTCGACCGATTTCATACATATTATGCACCAAACACGATATATATGACCGATTCCAATGAAATTCAGAATGTGTGGCGGAATTTGGTTATAATAATAAATGTGATAAATTAATTGGAAATAAGTTATGATTTGGATATAGCTCCCATATATATATTCTCGGCCGATTTCACATATTTGACGCACCAATTTCAATGAATTATGAAAGGTGTGGCGGAGTTTTGTGTAAAAGTAATTTTTTTAAAATTATATTTAAATCGGATCAGATTGGGATAGATTGGATACCCACAACGCCTTAGGCTAACACTAAAAAAACAACACAACAATTTATTTGAAATACGCTTATTACGGCGAAGTATGTTGCTATCTCGAATTCACTAATTGCGATAGAAAAACCACTCTACTTAAAAAAATTGCAGTTTCCTGCACGCTTGGTATTTGCTATGAAATAAATACATCCGAAGGACAAATCCTTCGTGTATGTATGTCATTTTGGTTATTTACGCATTAAAGTAGTGCAATAATTTTTTTTTAATTTTTAAATTTGTTTTTTTTTTAACCAACATATATTCGTAAATAAAATTTTGAATGCATATAAAATCAAAAGGGGTAGCGAAGCGCACCGGGTTCAGCTAGTTTGTTATATTTTGAGTGCATACTACGGCTGCGGAGGACAAAAATTACATATCGGATGAACAATATATATGGGAGCTACATCTATATCTGAACTAATTTCGATCAAATTTGTCTTACTTATATTTAGGTCCAATCTAGTCGTACTATTTGGGCTAATATTACAAGTTTGGTGCACAATATAAAGCAAATTGGACGAAAATTTATATGGTAGCTATACCTAAATTTTGACCGATTTTTTCCAATTTCAATAGGGTTTGTCCTTAGGTCAAACAAATTAATTGTGCAAAATTTCATCTGAATCGGACAATAAATGCGACCTGTACTTTGTTTACAAAAATACATGGACGACTCAGAATGTGATTCTATGCAGATCATCAAAAGGAACTATCGATCTATTTCGTTTCCTTTTGCCTGTTACAAACAAATGCACAAAGACATAATACTCTAACCACCTTGTGATGTAGGGTATAATTACAAAAAATCTAGCTATTTCTTTGAATGATCCATTTTAAATTCAAATACTCTCATTTGTAATTAGAGATATAATTATATGTAATTTGAAGAGCCAAATACGAACCCAATGCATAGAAATGTAATAATATTTTGTTTGAGTTTCAAATCGAATAGTTCAAATTAAAAGTGGAAGAATCGAACTGCAAATTATATTATTTGAATGTAATTAATTAATTTAAAAATAATAATATTTTCGATTTACAATAGAAATATTTTGAATGGCATTGGTAAAAGTTGTAGATATTTTCCTACAGTTTCGTTCGATCTAACAAATTTCTTGGTTAGTGATACATTTTTAAATATGTACCGTCAAGGATACATTTTGTGTGTATTTTCAAAATCCTGGAAACCCTCAAAACAATATACACGATGACACCTGCACATACACCTACACACCGTACACAATTGGGGATTAATACACATACACGCACACACACACCTTGATACCGGCAATTGGAAGTGGAATCAATTATAATAATAGTACTTATCTAAATAGCGACAAGACCCTCATACATTTTTATTGTTTCTTACGTTGACGACGTCCTTTTTGACTAATATTGTGTCATTTCTTTAATAGACCAAGGGATGGGTGCCCAAGCTTTTATTGATTGTAATCTTTTTACTAATGTCATGCCGTCTGTCATTACAAGCGAAATCAATAAGTGTAAGTATAAGTAGATGTTGAGTACATTTGTCTATCTATTGTTTCGATTATACGAGTCATGGCACGCAAAATCGGCGGGACGATTCGAAAAACACACCTTTTCTCAAATTAACCATGACCATATTAAGTAATTTGTATGCTCATGCATGACATTTTTTGTTGCATGTAATAGTTAAGTTTTTGTTTTTTGAAATTTAGAACTATTTTTCGTTTTTTAAAGAGGTTACGAAATTATTGCTATCTACGAGTAAAGCATTCTGCTTGGCATGGAGTTGCACCCAAAAAATTATACACACATGTCAATACGAAAAAAGAAATGATTAATTTGAGCGGCCAGTGAAAAATGTGGCTTTTCGTGCAAGCAAAGAAGACCTCAAAAACACAGGTAGTGCTAAATAAAAGAAATAACTTCGAACATTTTGAAAAATAAAAAATAAAACTACTCGTATTAACCTTTTGTTTTTGGTCCTTCAAATATCTGCTAGTTTTATACCCTCAGCCATATGGCTACAGAGGGTATACTTCATTTAGAGTGAATTTGTTACAAAAGAAATCAACATGGAAATGTTTTTAGCGGCTTATTTGGAGTAATAAAAAAGTAAACACAGCGTTGAATTCGGCCGTGCAATTTTGACAGCCTTCACTATGAACTTGCAAGCAAAAGAAGAAATAGGAGAGAAAAATATGTGTTTACAGGGTGAGATAAAAAATGCAACAAAGTTAAACACCATAATTTTTAATTTTTTTTTAATTTCATTGAGTGAAAGCATACAATGTCGGAAATAGCATCAAATTTTAGAATAAGTTTAGATTTATTCGAATTGGCTACCTTTGGCACGAATTATGGCCTTCAAACGGCCAATGAAACCGTCACACGCTGCCCGAATGTTGCTCTGCGGTATTTTGGCCCATTCCCGGCGAAGCGTTTGCTTGAGGTGATCGACACTTTGGCAATAGAAATGAAGCGAGGAACCTCATTTTGTAACCAAATTTGGGTGGCGGCCAAAATATTTGCGTGCCCAAGTCTTTAATAGGCCCTCCAGAATATTTTCGCGATAATATTCCGCATTTATTCTGATGCCACGGTCGATTAATATGCGGGGTGCGATCATCGGCTGTTATGGCGGCTCACACTATCACCATGACCGGCGTTTGAGTTCTGGTGGCCAACCGAAGGTGCACAATTTCAGCCGACCTCTTTGGCAAGTAAACACGAATGTTTTCCCATCGGATAAAACCAAATTCGGCAGTTCACCACTTTCGGCCAAGCGAAGCAACTCCTAAGCTCTTTTGAGTCCATTTTATTTCTGTTTCATGGCTTTCAATTGCCCCAGCTCATATTTCAATATTTTCAGAATGGAATATTGCGATATATTCAGCTCACGAGCCATTTTTCGGCCATTGCGACGTGGATTTGGATCAAGTCGATTAGATATCCATTTCGTTGAATCCATAAAGTTTTTTCATTAAATTACACTTTAAGTTATCAGAGAAAGGAAATCATTATCCATTTCCGTTTGTTTTGTATGATTGTTTTGAAGCAGAAGGTGTTCCGGTTAAAAATGAATTTGATTGAACCTTAGTTTAAAACATCATATTTGTGTAATTCTCTATAATTTTTTTTTTTTAATTTCTCAAACAGCAAAGGCTTTGCAAAATCGTAAATCGTATAAATCTATAAATCTTAAGATGAAAATTAAGTGCATGTAATCTGCGTAATAATTTGAATCAACTTGGAGCTATAATGACACTCCTTAAGTTCAGAAATGCGCTTATAATATTGTAATGCTTTTATTATATTCAATTAGTTAAACAAATACTAAAATTAAAAATTATTGAAATTCTTCCCTTTTAACCTTCATACTATCCCATAACTCTTAACGCTACTCTACTGTATTGTCGTAGTCGTAGCCGAATATCAATCAAAATCCAAACCAATATACATATGTATAAAATTTTATCTGTGTATTGAAAATAAAAAGTAAAGTAACAATCATTGTGGTTTGTCTTATTTTGTCTGTCCAATATTTCTGTTCGATGAAACAACAACAATCAATTAATAACGCATTGTGAAGTTATGCTTAATTAATTTAACTGAACGAGAAAAAAATGCCGCTTATTAACAACAACTATTTAATATTAACTGAGCTTTATGTGTGACTGACTGTGCATGTGTGTGTGTGCGTTTGTGCAACAATGAATAAAATTGCGTAAATTATGAATTCCTTGTATTAAATTGAACGTATCAAAAATTAAACCGAGTAGAGAACAAAGTGAGAATTTCTTAATTGTTTATAATTTTTTTATTATTAACACTGAGTTCATTCCACTTCGGCTAACCGCAATTATTATATGCGTATTTTGTTTTATTTATGAATCTTTTTTGTTGATGCAGGATTTTCAACAGCTGGAAGCTAACATTGTTAATAAGTCATTGGCTCAACTGTCAGCTGGCGATATGGATCCAATAACCAAATTGCGTGCCTTGTGTTTGTCTCGCGGTGCCACCGGTATCAATGGATTGGGCAGGTGAGTGAAAATTTATTTTAATTTAACTTATTATAATTAAATCTAATTTCCTAAATTATGAATGTTCAGTTGTTGAATTATATCGTATTAATTGCTTCCGCATAACATGCAAAGGTGGAAGGGAGAGAAAAAAATATTTTATTTATTTCGAAACTATTATACCTAGATTTGTGCGACGAAATACTTTAATACCTTTATTTATATAAAAAAGCTCAATCGATAAAAAAAGAGAAAGAAAACTGTATAATTTCCACCCACATGCAATGGCGGAAAACTTTTATTTAGCAAAATTTAAAAAATTCCTAAAAACACTCAATATTTGTGCGTTATAATCGTTACACATCCAATATATTGAAAAGTAGCCCGTTCTGATGAACAATATAGCCAGACTCCAAAAATGTTAATAACTGGAAAGTAACGCTATTCAAAAAATCTGGACATAAATTGAGTAATTTTTTTTTGGATAGTTTAGGTGTTTCTACCCAATAACATTTCGCCGTATTACAGCCATTTCGCCTGATATCCATAAGTGTGAAGGACTGTAATACAAACTTATAATCGACCGGTACATGAACCGACATTAAACATTTCTATTGAGAATCTAGAGTGCAAATTATAGTCAATTTGTTTGAAATTGAGGTTGTAACACTAAAGAGCCAAATATAAGACCTACATTTAAAATCAAGTATCTGCATTCTCAGATAAGCTGCAACTATTTGGATTGGCAAATTTTCCCTACACTCTCAAATCCCAGCAATATCCATTACCTACTGCATTATTCGGAGGTTCAAAGTAAGGTATATCCATTACCTACTGCATTATTCCGAGGTTCAAAGTAAGGGATTGTGTTCTTGAAAAGGACATAAAAAGTTGGAAAATTAAATTAAAAAATAATAGTACAGCCATTTAAGGATGATATTCCCTGTTTTACTTATTATGAGAGTCTTGGCTATATTTTCCAATATACTTGGCTGAAAATTATTAATTTGGTTTCTGCGGTATATTTCAGCAGTTATGGCGAACATTTGATAATTTGTTGGAAGTAGTGTTTCTACAAATAAAAGATCAAAATGCCAAAAATTTGCCAAATTTAAACAAGTGAAAAAGGAGCTAATTTCGACAGAGTCGAACTTTTTATACTCTCCACCATTTGGAAGAAACATGAAAAATGTAATAAAATACCATCCAAAAATACCGCTCAAGTGAAAACCGTTATATGGGGGCCATACGAAGACGTGGTCTTCGACTGTAGTAACGGTTCCGAACTTTATATATGAAATTTGAAACAATTTCGGTGAATTCATGTCGCTATCGTGGACCTATATAGATAATTCTCTTTCAAGGGGTAAAGAACTCATTGAAAAATGTGGCTAAATCATCAAACTACGGAATATCGGGGGGTATCGTTATATGGGGAATATACGATATTACGGACCTATATAGACAATTCCCTTTCAGGGGATTAAGTACTCACAAAGAATTCCTTGCGTAGAATTTCAGACAATTCCATTAAAAAATGTGGTTAAAATCATCAAAATACCAAATATTGGCGGGTACAGTTATATGGGGACCAATATAAACCACCGTGGAACCATATAGCCCATCTTCGAACTTGACCTGCCTGCAGACAAAAGACTGATCTGTTCAAAATTTTAGCTTCCTACCTTAATTTATTTTTACTGTAGCATGATTACAATAGAACGACGGACAAGGCTAAATCGTCTTAGAATTTTACGCTTATCAAGAATATATATACTTTGTTGGGTCTAAACTTATTATTTCGATGAGTTACAAATGGACCGACGAACTTAATATACCCTCCATACCATGTATGGTGAAGGGTATAAAATCAAATTAAAATATATAAAATAAAAACAAGTTTGGCCAGGCCGGATTGTTAATACCATTTGGAAGGAAATTAAAAAAGGGAAATTCCGGGAATTACCGTTATATTGGGGCTTTATGAAGACGTGTGCCTGTCATTTTGTCATAGGCCATTACGATATTCATACACGAAAATTGGAACAATCCTGTTGGATAATGTCGATAAAAACATCAAAATACCGAATATAGAGAGGTACCCTTATATTGGTGCCCGTACAAAGACGTGGACCTGTATGAGAAATTTTCTGTTAAAATATGTAGTGCCCATAAAAATAATCAAAATACCAAATATATATCTGGATGTATAGTTATATGGGGACTATACCGATAACCTTGATCTATATTTACAGTTCTATGCGAGTAGGTTTGCAGAAAATTCGAGTTCAAATTGTGACTGAAATACCCAAGAAACCTTAAATCTGTCTATACAGTTATATGGAGGCTATACCAAATTATGGATCTATATATAGCCAATTTCAATACCAAGTCTGGCAGACATAAAACACATCTGAGTAAAATTTTATTACCCAACTTCATTTCGTTCGAAAGCTGATGGACAGACAGTCGGATGGATATCTCTAAATCGACAAAGAATTCTTTTGCTGATCAAGAATTTATATACTGTGTGGGGTCTAAAATTTATATTTCGAGGTGTTGCAAACGAAATGACAAACGTAGTATACCTTCCATGCTATGGTGTAGGATATAAAAACGAATCGTGTGCCTGCTATAGTCCGGGCTTATATGATGACCGAAAATGGAAAATATTGGCCCACTGTTTCTCAAACCTCCACGCAAAATAACAAAATGATTAATGATCGTTAAATATGGAATACAGATCTTCTTCTTGTTTCACATATCCCAATTATTCCGCATGAAGTTATGATTTACCAGTATACTCCCTCAGATACCTTTCCCACAAAGGGTAAAACTTTTTTAATATTTATTTACTTTCAATGAATTCTTAATTTTTTCATATTTCTGCTTAAACTGCGCACATGGAAATATTTATACTGACATTAGATTTAATAAAAGTTTCCCAAAAAGTAAAAACAAAACTAAATGATCGAATGCTGGGTGTATATATATACCGGAACAACGAATGAAACATCGTTGACCATGCTACAGTGGATATAATGCGTGTTCTACACCTAAGCGTTTGTTATTCGGACTCCGGTCCAGATAAATTTTTCGATCTAAAACTAACGCTACAAGAAAATTTAAATGAATAACGAGATAACTTAACCTTCCGATAGAACTTCTTGTAGAAAGATATAGTGCCATGAAATACCCATCAGGAAACAATTTCCATTTTCATTAGCAACATATGTATGTTCGATTTTAAAGCGATTAGTAAAATAAGCTTTCAAAACTCATAAATATGTAAAATACGCTTATACATCTTCCGCATATAAGCAGATTACTCGACCACAAAAAAGGTATTTAATTTGTATTAAAATCATCAACGGAGCACCAATTTGTATTATATTTTAAGGATCATATTTTTGCATTTGCATTTGAAAAGAGAGAAAAATATTTTATACTTGTCTTGGTGCCTAATTAATTTACATTAACTGTTGTTCCCATTTACAGAATATTCCGCAATATGGATGATGATGGCAGTAAAGCTTTAAACGAGTACGAATTTACCAAAGGCATCAAGGAATGCGGTTTAGATGTGAGTAATGAGGAGATTAAGGAGATGTTCCGCAGGTAAATGAACAGCATTCTAAATAAAGATATTAATTACGCCTCATAAGAAAAATCATAATTTCGGCTTTTCATGTCTCCTTAAATTTCATATTCCGGCCCTAACGATGGTAGATACAGCCATCGTTTTTTTTTTGGTTTGTGTGTTTGGTTATTGATGTTGTTCTTTTTTCCCCTGCTATTCTATTTGCAGCTTTGATGAGGATGGCAGCGGCTCCATTAACATGACTGAATTTTTGCTCAAGCTAAGGGTAAGTACTTTGTTTGCGTATTAAGATGAACGGGGTTTGTTTAATACAAATTCCCTTTTTCCTCATTTTGTAATTTTTTTTCTTTATTCACGTAGCCTCCCATGTCCCAAGCCCGTTTGGCAATGATTGATAAAGCCTTCAGTAAAATGGATAAAACCGGTGATGGTGTCATTACCTTGGAAGATTTGAAAAATGTGTACACAGCCCGCGAACATCCCAAATTCAAGAGTGGTGAAAAGACTGAAGATGAAATTTTAACCGATTTCCTGCACAACTTCGAGGGCGGTCGTGGTAATTTGGATGGAAAAGTAAGTCATTTTATCTAGCTTAAATGCGATATGTTTATAAACCATTATGTTTTAAAACTTATTTTAGGTGACAAAAGAAGAATTTATCAACTATTATGCCACCATCAGTGCCTCCATAGATAATGATGAATATTTCGAGTTTATGATGAAGAAAGCCTATGCCCTGGAATAAATCTCTACAACTAAATGTTTTTTATTATCCTATGTAATTTTTGTGTTTTTAAATGTTCCCTTTAGCTAACAGAATTCGTGTGTTAAAACTAATATGAACAAAGTATTATTTGCAATGATAATTATTAATAACTAAAATAAAATTATAAATGCACCAAGTCTATAAAGCACCCCGATTTTTTTAATTTTCTAAAAATGTAAGGAACGATAAAAAATGTGGATAGGAGGAGCGTAATTATACCTTACGCTATTGCGCGCATCTACGGCACATCTTAGTGTAGCTTTGCATGAAATACACTATTTTTTATAAATCGGTCACATTAGTTTATGTACATTTAGTATGTTTACTTCTGGTAGAAAAATGTTTAAATTAGTTCCACTTTTTCGCTAATTTGATGACTTCTGTCGGACCTTTGGATATCCTCCACCATCTGGATTAAATTTGTAAATTCTCAAAAAAAAATCCGTCGAAATACCGAATATACGGAGTTACCGTTATATTGAAGCCTTTAAAAAAGACATGGACCTGCGTATGCAATTTTCGGTCACAGGCTGTAGCATCCATTACGAACTAACAATACGAAATTTGAAACAACTCCGGTGGATTATGTGGGTAAAATCATTAAAATGCGGAATATTGGGGGGTACAGTTATATGAGGACTAGCTTCCTTAGTTTCCGACGGAAATTAAGAAGATCGATAAAATCTTATTCCTATGTACTTTAAGTCCACAGGATTCTTGGTATTGAAATAGACATAACTGCAAAGGCATATTAAAAATGTTTTGGTTGTTATACACAATTGTAAATTGACAGTTTGTGTTCCCAGTATACATCATTGCAGAGAACTGTCAATATAGCTCCAAGTTTATAGACACCATACAACAGTACTTTCAGATATTTTTTGTGTTTTGATTATTATATGTGATACACTATTCATCGGAATGGTTTCAAATTTGATATTTGAATTCGTATTGGGTATTACCTTCAATAACAGAAAATTGGCCAAGCAGTCCAACATGTTTGTATATTCGGCATTTTTTATGACTTTATGACAGGAAATTTCCTGTATAGGTTCACCTCTTCGGGTAGTTTGCCATTTTTATCCACATTTTCAAGGGCATTATTTCATAATTCGTATGGTAGGCCCCATATCACTGTACCACCAGATATTTGGTATTTTAATAAATTAAACGGCATGTTTTTCGACAATTTTTTTATTTTGCTAATTCCATGAAGATGGTGGAGGATGTTATATGTTCAACCCGGCCGAATTTTCTTCTGTTTTACTTGTTTTTACTTTGTACGCTGCTGGTATTGAACTAGCCTATTATGTATTTTAGTCCATTACAACAATCACTGTCCAACGGCCGTTTCAAATTTTACACATACATCAACAGCACTATGTCTTCTATTCTGTATTCGGACACGCACACTCTATGCCGAAGTAAGCTATTTTGATTTGTATTTTTTTAGGAATAACCCATTATTTGCACCTACTGGTAAAACTGCTTACATTACCCATGGATTATTGCGTTCAAACAGCTTCATTTAAATGTGAATGTAAACTCGTAGCTAGCTTCGTATATTAAAATAAATTATTAGAAACTCTCTTAAATTATTAAAGTATTATGTGAACGGATAGAGCTAGAAATTTGGTATGAGAATAGAGGTTGGAAAGTAAGTTTGATATATGAATGTGGTTTTGGCAATGTGCACTAAGTGTGCGAACTGTACTAAACGGTACACCAACAAACCAGAATTGGAACATTAGAAGAAGTGTGTATTTTTCAAGTTCAGAATCCCAACCAAGGACATGTTAAATTCCCTATGTTTCCTTGATGACGGATACAGGGTTGCCCATATTCGACGGACGCATCTGGCAACGCCATAACTTTTGACAGAGATGTCACATCGCTTAATGACATATCGTGTTTGAAGCGTCAGTCCAAGCAGATTTTTTACCATGAACCAATACACGCCACGCGAAATAGTTGAAATTTATATTCAACAGAAGAAGTCAATTGTGAAAATTCAACGTGCTTTTAAAACATTAAAAAATGTGAGAAGTGCCAAGAACACCATTAAGCGTTTATACGAAAAATTTTCGACTGGTAAGGCTCTTTCTAATCCGAAGAGGCCATATAAAAGTCGAGCAAGGCGATCGGCCAAGAATATCGCTGCCGTATGAGCCAGTGTTGAGAGGTCCCCAAGAACATCCCAAAAACGCCGTTCTCAGCAGTTGGGCATGGCTCGGTCCACTTTACAACGGATTATTCACATTGATTTGCATTTGCTCCCGTACAAAATTCAATTGACGAAAAGAATGTTGGCTGCGGACAAGCCTCGTCGATTGGAATGGGCCCATGGGTCCGTCGAATATGGGCAACCCTGTATAATTGTACACAAAGCATTTTTTGGCTTAATTCAAATGAACAGATTTTTAGAAAAATATAATAGCTGCAAATTTTAATCAACTTCAGAAAGTTCACAAATTTTTAGCCAACCGAAATAAACGCTTGGCATGGGAAGGAATTGCAAATTTGACCGCTAAATTTGGTCGGGACCTATTTGCCACCAAAAAAATTAATGATATTTCCTAGTTACTTCATGTCCACACCGTTCATAATTTCATTTGATCATTTCATGGCTAAATATTTTAAATTCAAATCTCCAAGTTTGGATGTTTGGGTATCTTTTTACGACACAGAGTAAGCTCTGAATCGATGTTATTATTTGTTAGCCTTTTTCTATAAAATTTAACGCCAATTTTTCCACGTGCAGTCATATTTTTACGACAAAAAAAAAAACAAATGAATGAATGTTAATTTATCGCATGAGTTCATAAATACTCGGCCATGCACGATAAACTTTAATGTTGTCTGCAACATAGACAGCAATTAAAAACCTACTAAAATGATAAATGAAAAAATTTAATTAAACATCATAAATGTTCATTGCCTTGGATTTAAAATACAGTAGAATTGGAAGGGGAAGAAGCTAGTGCAGGCCTTTTTTCATCTAGGATTGCAAACAGTTATTATGATATACTGTTATTCAAATTACCTAAAATCAGCTTGTACCATAATAGGGAGGTCTATAAGAAACTGTGGGTCCAAGTGGTCAATTATGTATTTTTAAAGATCTAGATCATAAACAAAAGATTTTCTCTCTTGTTCTTATTTACTCAAATAATGTTGCAACTAAAAAATCAGTAACATCATTTTCAGGTAAAAGGGACAAACCAGCTTGTTAACTTGAATTTATTAATTTGCCGACAAATGTCGATAATTACCGAAAAAATGTGCAATACAAAAATTGCTATTATCGATAAGTGTCGCTCATTCTATCGTCACTTGTTCCAAAACTGCAAGAATATAAAATTGTTTAGCACCATAACCGAAGGTCGCACCAAATACAATCAAGCAGTTATTCTATGGGAGACCCAATAGAGGAAACCATTTCTGACAGAGTACCGAAAAAAATTAGTTGCCCTGAGCGACACACTAAAAAATTTCGGACAAAGACTTTATTGTCATCAAGGCAATAACAGCCAATAAAGTTTACTTAAGAACTGCAGTAAAGTGCATAACAACGATCAAAAACTATTCACAGCACGGATTAAGGATCATAAGTGTACCAGGTCATAATGGGATTAGAGGTAATGTACTGGGAATTTATAAAGGGTAAGTGTTACTTAGAATGGAAACGTGTTAAATTAGCAGTTAAAAGAGGAAAACACACAATTTTCAGTAGTAATATCCAAATTTCGAACGCAATTTTATTTATGACCATTACAACTGAATGTATGGGGCATTCTGAAATCATATTACTTTCATTCATCAAGTCGAAAAAAGACGGAGGAAAAATAATCAAACAAAAATATTAGAAAATGCTTTCGAGTATTTCGACAATATTGTTGCATGAAAACCGTCATATGGGGGCTATACGAAGACTTGGACCTGCATACGAAATTTTTTGCCATAATACCGAATATCGGGGGTTTATTATGAATATTTCGAGGAATTACAAACGGAATGACAAAGTTAATATACCCTCCATAGAATGGTGGAGGGTATAAAAATATAGGTATCTTTTCTTTGTTGGCTTATAGGGAAATTCTGTGAAAAATATTTCTGTCCTTGACTTCATCCTTTCAAAGTATAGCTTTTCAGGAGAATTTCGCATAAACTCACATGAAGTACGATTTTAACACTAAAATGTGGTTTTAATATTTATGAATTAAAATTTTAAGTAAGCTCTGCACTTGTGGAACCCAAAGCACAATTTTGTAAAGCTTGATGGTTAAAAATTCCGACTTAAATAACCCTCGTATTGTTATCAGTAATTTTGTCGATGACACTATATACCTAGCATGCACGTATTCCAAGAAATCTTAGTTGCAAAAATTAAAAAATCGGGAAAGAGGGGGATTTTCCTCCTGCATTGAAATTACTTTGTAATATAAATTTTTTAAAAGTCTACACACGTGACTTTTGTTTTTATACCCCCCACCATAAATAGTATGGAGGGTATATTAAGTTCGTCACTACGTTTGTAATTCATCGAAATAGTAATTTTATGGGTTTCTTCTGAGTACTTCACCCCTTGGAAGAGAATTGTCTATATAAGTGCAAGATATCGTATGCCTCCTATAGAACGGTATCTCCCGATATTCGATATTTTGACATTTTTAGTCACTTTATTATTTTTTTAAAGGTTATATTTTGTGGCATAATATTGTTAACATAGGTTCCATAACCCCCATATTAAGTTATCTCTCGATATTCGATATTTTGACAATTTTTGTCACAGTCTTTAAAGGAATATTTTTAAATTCGATATTTTTAGTTTATAACGGTTTTCAACTAATGTGGCAGAATACTATCCATATGGTTTTTAACTTAAAATGCAGTATTTGGATTCCGCGATGGTCTCTTCTGATTCCTCTGCTTATATAGGGCAATTTCTATATAAGTCGAGATTTTTCTATGGCCCCTATCGTAACAAACTTTTTTACAGGACTGTGTGAAATTTAGATTAGACGTTTCTAATAATAGAAGTGATGCATGCCCATCGAATACTGGGTTTATATAGTATAAAAAGTTCGGCACAGTCTAACTTTACTGCTTCTTACTTGTTATCTCTAATTTCATGCATTACTGGATTCT